AACTCAGTTTGTGCAGAAGAGAGTGACGTGAAAAGAAGTCAAACTACTTAAAGTTATTCACTAATTCCCTCTGATCTTTAGGTGGGGGTTATTCTGTATGAGATGGACAATTATGTAATCGTGAAACAGACTGTGGTCATCTCAGATTTATTCAGCCATGTCAGACAACACAGAAACACAACACATGGCTGACAAAGTGCAGACCATCGCTGACCCATGCTGACCAAGATCTCACAATCATTGACAATCATTGGCAAAGTGGCCATCATGGGCAAAATGGCAAAATGGCAAAATGGCAAAATCTTCATCACACAGTGTTGCTTATATTCTGCTAGAAGGTACAGCCCACAAATTCCTTTCCATTTGGGTACATCACTATAAAACAATAAGATGACATGACACTGATTTGTATACGTATCAGATGTAGACTCAGTGTAGACAGTTGCTGACAACATATAGTTGGCTCCTATCCATTTATAGATCTGCTACTACTTAGGTGCTTCACCCATATAAGGTTAACGCTTCACAGACCCAAAAGAAGAATTACTGTGAGATGGTTGACACAATTTAAAGATATGTCCACAAAATTATCAAGATGAATGAATCATGAAATACGTACTAACAGATTTTATTCATATACATCTGTCCCTGGATTCTGCTGCCATTCTTCTCCATATTACCAAGTGTATTTATGTCATTTCTAGTCAACAATACACTTATTAAAAGCACAATCACCTGACAGGTCCAGAAAAACCTCTTCAAGATACAAAATAAAACCTGGATTGCTTTTAATCTGTAAAAATATTGCTAATGCAGCAAGCAAATTTAACTTGTTTAAATGTTAAAAGGTGTCATCAAGTCAAATTTGCATAAATATATTATTTTCACTTTTAACAAGCAGTTCAGACCTTTATTTTTTTTAGTTATATATCTTGAAATAAGATGTTTATCTAGACTTTTCAGGTGACCATGGTTTACAATAAGTGTATTGAGCTGCTTTTGACGTTATCAGCCTTCTTAGTAAGATTTTAGTGTTAATTGAGGCCTCACTTGGAGACTGAACCAGCTTATTTTAGGCATTACAAAATAATAAATCCAATTAAAAAGGAGAGTTTTCAGGGAAATAAATACATTTTTTAAATTAAACTGTGATAAAAGAAACAAAAAGACAAACTTTCATTCACTCAGGGTTTTAGGGATTAGAGAGTCGCGTATAAGAAGTTCCTCTCTTCACTCAGAGTGATGGACGAGTGAGCGGCACACCTACCGACATAATATGACAGAAAAATAAGCTGGAAAATAACATTAACCATCGTGATCAACAGAAAAGACAGATGTAGATTGATAAAAGTAGAAATATAAGCTCAGAAAATGATAAAGAGTGAAATATGGAGCCATCACGGAGCGGTTATTTTTATATTTTAAATATAGCTAATAAATGTAAAGGAAAGGCAGGCGTGGTTAAAGCTCTCTACATGGGAATAAGAAGGTATGATTTAGAGCTGCAACATAAGCCCATCAATCAATTAGTCAAAAGAAATTATGCTATACATTTTAATTATTAAAACATTCCAGATGTTTCAGATTTCAGATTCTGAAATGCCAGGATTTCATGATTTTCATGATTATAAATTAAATACTTTTTAGGTTTTGTTCTGTTGTTTTGGCAGAAGAATACATTCAAAGATGTCACTTCTTCATCTTTCTCTTCCTCGGCTCCAGGTTCTTCGAGTACATCTTTTTGCACCAGAGCCTGGTGATGTTCCAGATCGACCAGAAGACGAAGGACTGCTCAAAGATCTCTCTGACCGAGGCCTGGGATCTCTTCGACAACCCAGCCAACTCCACCTTCGAGGACCAGTACATCATCGGAGGCCCCGGGGACAACGTGGAGGTCCAGGAGTGGTCGGACAGGAAGCCGGCACGCCAACGTAAACCTGGTTTTTAAAATATTTTTAAACACAACACCAGAAAGGACATGCACAGACAGAAAGTCATAATCAAAGAAATAAGTCAGTATTAACTGCCAGTGACAGGGATAGTCTCCCACTGTGAGGTGCATATGTGAACATCCAGGTCGAGAGAATATCCAGATCACTCCTCCTGAAATGACGGCTTAGGGTGCAGCCAGCCTGACACCAAAATCAAACCTTCCAAATGACATAAAGTAGGTTTATCTGTGGTAAACACATTGTCACAATCCAGGCCATCAGTGGTGATGGCAATGGTGAATGTGTGGTGTTGTGGCTAAACAAAGACCACCAACCAAAGTGAGTGTTGACAAGAGAGAGAGAGAGAGAGACTAAGAAACCAGCTTATACACCAAGGCCCAGTCTGCCCAGGTGCATGACATCAAATTAACTGGCTCCGCCCTTTCTACCTGAAGACAACCTGAGTGGGGAGATACAAGACAACAGGAGGAGCACTGACACAGTCAGGGGTCGTCAGAACAGACTACGATCTTTTGCACTTCCATATCTGCTCAGTTTTTCAACACCTTGCGTTTAATGGAGGACATCTGTGTTAAAAACAGTTAAAGGCTTAATATGTGATTATTCACACTTAAATGTAGAAATCAAGTATCTCTGAAAATAACTCTGTGAGTCATGACTGTCTACAATGGGTGTAACACCCGAGTCCCACTGTCTGTGATGTTTTCAGAGTCCTATCTTCACTTTGTTTACATCGCGGACGGCCGGCTGACTCCTCCCCTCGAGTATAAAAGTTGTTTAATTGAGGGACTAGAGAAAAGAAGAATAACATACTGTACTCACTGCTTAACTGTGTTTCTAGATCACGCTCATTTCAGGTAAATTTACATGCAGTGTGAAGATACCAGCATAATAAAGATCGCTAGCATTAGCATGCTAACACAACAATGCAGCGCGAGTTGTTTTGGTTCATGCTGGTGCTCAAGGCGACATCTGCTGGATCAAAAAATCATATAAAGCCTTTAAACATCTTTTAGATTATGTGGTAACTTTAAAACACAAAGTGTCCGTGCTGCTTGAATCCAGTGTTTGTGTACGTTCTTCCTGAAGCTGCTTCACAATAAAAATGAAGCTTCATCAGATTTAAGGAGCAACTTCTGCTGGATATGAACCTCCAGTTCCTCTTAGAGCTGCTGTGACCTTTTCTCATCTCTCCACCAGATGAGACCTGGGTGGGCGTTTACACCCTGAAGGACTGCTACCCGTGCAGGAGACCTACGCCAGGAACAGCAGCGTCACCACCTCCACCCGCTTCTTCAACCTGCAGCTGGGCATCAGCGACCCGACGTCTTCACCCCGCCCAGCACCTGTCAATCAGCTCGGCCTGAGAGGATGTCGGAGTCCGGCTGCTGAATGCCCTCACCTTTAATCTTAGATACTTAAACGGGATAATCTCGCTGAATTCTTCTGTTACATAAATGTCTGTGAGGTCAAATCGTTTGTCTGATGAGTTAACACAAGAAGAGTTTTTATTCAGCAAAGATCTAATTAATGACTTCTGACGATGAAACTGTTTAAATGCTCCTGTGACTGTTTGTTTTCCTGAGTTTGGAAGTTGTTTTTCCAGCTTTGTGTGAATGCAGGAGTAAACCAGTTCTTTCAGTAAGCGCCGGCTGTCACAGAAACAGCCTATGAGTCACTTAGTTACTGCTGGCTGCTGTTTTCTATTATTGATTCTAATAACATTTAATTCACTAACTACTTACGACTCGCTTTTGCTGTTTGTGTGAGAAGCTTCAAATCAATGTGAGCATGACAAGAATGCCAATCTGTCCGTGGTCAGCCCGCCTGCATGCTCTGAGCGTGACAGAGTGTGGAGGCGGGGAGCAGGCTTCAGTGTTGCATACATACAAGCAGAATATTTGAAGACAAGAGGAAGAATTGCATTTATCTGCACAGAGAGGGCTCATCGTCATCACAAGCTGCTTCAGAAAACACCGGTGGCAGCAAAGTGACGCCTGCACAGTAAGCATTACAAATACGTTTCCCAGCATGCAACACAGACATTTATGAGTTCAATGAATGACTTTCATGAAGCCTGCATTGCACTTTCACAACAGAGCAACCTCTAAGCTGCTGTACAAACAACATGCAGTACTGGGGCAGAAAGCCTTCTCCAAACCCTCCGATTCAAAGAAGAGTTCATCTTGTAAAATCTGAAATGAGAAGTGTTTTTAAAAGAGAAATGTTCTCTGTTGTAAACAAGTCTCCCTCCCTCCCTCTTCTTCCTGCTCTCAACACAGCCAGCTCCACTCTGACTCTATATTTCCTGGTTCCCTCCCCTTTAGATCTACAAGTTGAGGATGGGTGTACCAACAAGCTGACGTTCACTGAACAAACACATGCTGTGCAGATCAGAGGTGGAGCTAGTCTGATTTCTCAGGAAGTGAAACTCAGACAGTTGTTGTTACCGAGAGGAGAAATGGCGCAGAAAGGAGTTCAGCTGGGCAGGAAACTATTTCTTGTTCCATCTGTCTGGATCTCCTGAAGGATCCGGTGACTACTACCTGTGGACACAGTTACTGTATGAACTGTATTAAAAGCCACTGGGATAAGAGGATGAGAAGACAATCTACAGCTGCCCTCAGTGCAGACAGGACTTCACACCGAGGCCTGTCCTGAGGAAAAACACCATGTTAGCAGTTTTAGTGGAGGAGCTGAAGAAGACTGGACTCCAAGCTGCTCCTGCTGATCACTGCTTGCTGGACCTGAAGATGTGGCCTGTGATGTCTGCACCGGGAGGAAACTGAAAGCCTGTAAGTCCTGTCTGCAGTGTCGGCCTCTTACTGTGAGAAACACTCCAGCCTCATTTTGAAGCAGCTCCATTAAAGAAACACAAGCTGGTGGAGCCCTCCAAGAAGCTCCAGGAGAACGTCTGCTCTCGTCATAATGAGGAAATGAAAGTATTTTGTCGCTGATCAGCAGTCTATCTGTCTCCTCTGTTTAATGGACGAACACAAAGGTCATGACACAGTCTCAGCTGCAGCAGAAAGGAGCGAGAGCAGAGAGAGCTCGGGTGAGTCGACAAAACATCCAGCAGAGAATCCAGGACAGAGAGAAAGATGTGAAGCTGCTCCAACAGGAGGTGGAGGCTATCAATGGCTCTGCTGATAAAACAGTGGGAACAGTGAGAAGATCTTCACTGAGCTGATCCGTCTCATGGAGAAAAGACGCTCTGATGTGAAGCAGCAGGTCAGATCCCAGCAGCAAACTGAAGTGAGTCGAGTCAGAGAGCTTCAGGAGAAGCTGGAGCAGGAGATCACTGAGCTGAAGAGGAAAGACGCTGAACTGGAGAAGCTCTCACACACAGAAGATCACAACCAGTTTCTACACGACTACCCCTCACTGTCACCACTCAGTGAATCTACACACTCATCCAGCATCAAGATCCGTCCTCTGAGGTACTTTGAGGATGTGACAGCGGCTGTGTCAGAAGTCAGAGATAAACTACAGGACGTCCTGAGAGAGAAATGGACAAACATCTCACAGACAGTGACTGAAGTGGATGTTTTACTGTCAGACCAGAACCAGAACAGACCAAGACCAGAGCTGAGTTCTTAAAATATTCATGTGACATCACACTGGATCCAAACACAGCACACACACAGCTGTTATTATCTGATGAGAACAGAAAAGTAACAGTAATGAGAAAATCAGTCTATTCTAGTCACCCAGACAGATTCACTGATTGGTGTCAGGTCCTGAGTAAAGAGAGTCTGATGGACGTTGTTACTGGGAAGTGGAGTTGAGAGGAAGAGTTTTGTAGCAGTCACATACAAGAATATCAGCAGAGCAGGGGCTCAGATGAATGTGTTTGGACGTAATGACAAATCTTGGTGTTATTGTTAAAACAGTTTAACTTTTGGTACAACAAAGTCAGACTCCTGTCTCAGGTCCTCAGTCCTCCAGAGTAGGAGTGTACCTGGATCACAGAGCAGGTATTCTGTCCTTCTACAGCATCTCTGAAACCATGACTCTCCTCCACAGAGTCCAGACCACATTCACTCAGCCTCTACATGCTGGACTGGGGTTATATTATTCTCCTGGAGACTCTGCTGAGTTGTGTAAACTGAAATAGACAGAAGTCATTAACGAGACAGATGTTTAACTTGCTGTGTTTTAAATCTTCAACTTGATTTTTATTCATGCTCGTTGCTGAGATCTGATCGTGGTCACCTGTCAATCAAACTTTATGGGCGGTCTTTGACCTCTTCTCGTCTGTTCTGTAAATGTTTGAGTGTCTTTAAGTGACACTCCTTCCTGTGTCTGTTTAGCCGTGGACTCTTTCACTGCTCAGGATGACTTTTGTTCACCTGAACTGACATTTCTCTGCGTGAAAATATCAACTTCTCTCCACTCTCCATGTTTGATTATTTGTATTCATACATTTATATGCTGTTGTTTCTGTTCTGATTCATGAGTCTGAAGAGAGAGAGCAGCAAACTTTTCTTTAATGTTGATTTTCTCTTCTCACCACTTTGTACATTTGTAGAAAATCTATAAAATCACACTTAAAGAAATGAGTTAGTCAGAATAAATGTTGTTGTTCATATTCAAAGTAAAGTAAAAAATGTCCTCTGAGGTATTTTAAAACTGTAATCCTCCTGATTAAATCAATAAGGAGATAAATCATCGTTTTCTGTGAGTGGAGATTCTGATCAAACAAACTGATTGTGTGAATGTGTTCATGAAATGATTGAACAAGAGACATTGAACACACTTTACTGATTTAATGTTAACAAACTGAAGTTTGACATCCTGAATAAACACATGAACAAAATGTTTTCTTCTCGTCTTCATTGCAGGTGTCGTAAGAAGCTGATGGAGAGTCAAACTCAGTCACTTTGTTCATGTGTTGGTGTTTAGAGCTGAAGAGCGTCTGTCACTCACTCTCTGTTCCTTCAGCTCTCCTCACTAAAAAAGATTTGCTTTTGAGGAATGAGCAGAGTTCTCTTTAACATTTTGACGTCTAAAAACATTTTGACAGACTTTTCTTTCCTATATTTCCAATGTGTCCTGAATGCAGCATCAGAATCAGAAGAATCAGAATCAGCTTTATTGGCCGCGTATGCTTTCACACACAAGGAATTTGACTTCATTAAAACAATACTCTCTATGCACAAAAAGGACAACATTAAATTACAACAATAAACACAATGTAAGCAAAGACTAACACGTACAAGGCTCGATGAGAGAATAGTGCAGTGTTGGGTCGAGCAAACATGCTGAGATAACTTATAATAAAATATATATATATATGTAACAGATGAGTTCATTTACTTGAGGAAGAGTTTAACAGTATTTACATTGAGCGTGTGATTGATATCAAGGGAGGATAATAATACAGATGCCTTCCTGCAGAGAGTAAAAATCACCACAAGAGGGCGCCTTCATCCTGCTAACCAGGGTGTAAAGATCACCTGAACTCAGTTTGTGCAGAAGAGAGTGATGTGAAAAGAAGTCAAACTACTTAAAGTTATTCACTAATTCCCTCTGATCTTGTTAGGTGGGGTTATTTCTGTATGAGATGGACAATTATGTAATTGTGAAACAGACTGTGGATCATCTCAGATTTATTCAGCCATGGTCAGACAACACAGAAACACAACACACATGGCTGACAAAGTGCAGACCATCGCTGACCCATGCTGACCAAGATCTCACAATCATTGACAATCATTGGCAAAGTGGCCATCATGGGCAAAATGACAAAATGGCAAAATCTTCATCACACAGTGTTGCTTATATTCTGCTAGAAGGTACAGCCCACAAATTCCTTTCCATTTGGGTACATCACTATAAAACAATAAAGATGACATGACACTGATTTGTATACGTATCAGATGTAGACTCAGTGTAGACAGTTGCTGACAACATATAGTTGGCTCCTATCCATTTATAGATCTGCTACTACTTAGGTGCTTCACCCATATAAGGTTAACGCTTCACAGACCCAAAAGAAGAATTACTGTGAGATGGTTGACACAATTTAAAGATATGTCCACAAAATTATCAAGATGAATGAATCCATGAAAATACGTACTAACAGATTTTCATTCATATACATCTGTCCCTGGATTCTGCTGCCATTCTTCTCCATATTACCAAGTGTATTTATGTCATTTCTAGTCAACAATACACTTATTAAAAGACACAATCACCTGACAGGTCCAGAAAAACCTCTTCAAGATACAAAATAAAACCTGGATTGCTTTTAATCTGTAAAAATATTGCTAATGCAGCAAGCAAATTTAACTTGTTTAAATGTTAAAAGGTGTCATCAAGTCAAATTTGCATAAATATATTTTTTCACTTTTAACAAGCAGTTCAGACCTTTATTTTTTTTAGTTATATATCTTGAAATAAGATGTTTATCCAGACTTTTCAGGTGACCATGGTTTACAATAAGTGTATTGAGCTGCTTTTGACGTTATCAGCCTTCTTAGTAAGATTTTAGTGTTAATTGAGGCCTCACTTGGAGACTGAACCAGCTTATTTTAGGCATTACAAAATAATAAATCCAATTAAAAAGGAGAGTTTTCAGGGAAATAAATACATTTTTTACAAAATTAAACTGTTATAAAAGAAACAAAAAGACAAACTTTCATTCACTCAGGGTTTTAGGGATTAGAGAGTCGCGTATAAGAAGTTCCTCTCTTCACTCAGAGTGATGGACGAGTGAGCGGCACACCTACCGATATATATGACAGAAAAATAAGCTGGAAAATGACATTAACCATCGTGACATCAACAGAAAAGACAGATGTAGATTGATAAAAGTAGAAATATAAGCTCAGAAAATGATAAAGAGTGAAATATGGAGCCATCACGGAGCGGTTATTTTTAATGTTTTAAATATAGCTAATAAATGTAAAGAAAAGGCAGGCCTGGTTAAAGCTCTCTACATGGGAACAAGAAGGTATGATTTAGAGCTGTAACATAAGCCCATCAATCAATTAGTCAAAATTAAATTATGCCATACATTTTAATAATTATAAAACATTCCAGATGTTTCAGATTTCAGATTCTGAAATGCCAGGATTTCATGATTTTCATGATTATAAATTAAATACTTTTTAGGTTTTGTTCTGTTGTTTTGGCCAGAAGAATACATTCAAAGATGTCACTTCTTCATCTTTCTCTTCCTCGGCTCCAGGTTCTTTGAGTCCATCTTTTTGCACCAGAGCCTGGTGATGTTCCAGATCGACCAGAAGACGAAGGACTGCTCAAAGATCTCTCTGACCGAGGCCTGGGATCTCTTCGACAACCCAGCCAACTCCACCTTCGAGGACCAGTACATCATCGGAGGCCCCGGGGACAACGTGGAGGTCCAGGAGTGGTCAGACAGGAAGCCTGGCACGCCAGCGTAAACCTGGTTTTTAAAATATTTTTGAAACACAACACCAGAAAGGACATGCACAGACAGAAAGTCATAATCAAAGAAATAAGTCAGTATTAACTGCCAGTGACAGGGATAGTCTCCCACTGTGAGGTGGATATGTGAACATCCAGGTCGAGAGAATATCCAGATCACTCCTCCTGAAATGAAGGCTTAGGGTGCAGCCAGCCTGACACCAAAATCAAACCTTCCAAATGACATAAAGTAGGTTTATCTGTGGTAAACACATTGTCACAATCCAGGCCATCAGTGGTGATGGCAATGGTGAATGTGTGGTGTTGTGGCTAAACAAAGACCACCAACCAAAGTGAGTGTTGACAAGAGAGAGAGAGAGAGACTAAGAAACCAGCTTATACACCAAGGCCCAGTCTGCCCAGGTGCATGACATTCAATTCAATTCAATTCAATTTATTTGTATAGCGTCAACTCATAACAAGTGTTATCTCAAGACACTTTACAAAAAGCAGGTAAAAGACCTTACCCTTTGTCTCTTAACGTTACAAAAGAGCAGGTAAAAAAACCTTACTCATTGTTATGTTACAAAAAGCAGGTAAAAGACCTTACTCATTGTTATGTTACAAAAGAGCAGGTAAAAAGACCTTACTTATTGCTATGTTACAAAGATCCGGCCTATCCATCATGAGCACTTTAACAAAGCAGCAAAAGTTATAGTGGTAAGAAAAAAGTGGCTTATTAAAAGGCAGAAATCTTCGGCCGGATCCCCGGCTCATGACGAAACAGCCTTCACAGGACTAGACTGCGCCGGGGTTGGAAAGGGATAGGGGGAGAGATGGGATAAGATGCAGGAAGAGGGATAGGGAGCAAGGGGGTGGGGGGAGGCAAACCGTCCATCAACAATCTGGTGGGGGGGGTTGTTCTGGCAGGCTGTCAACCAACGATCTTGAGGAGCCTAAGAGAGCTCAAGAGCTCTCAGGAAAGTAGGTGGTTAGTGACTGAGATTTACAGATAGATACATGCAGTAATATGATGTACTGTATATGCACAGAGAGAGAGAGAGAGAGAGAGAGAGAGAGAGAGAGAGAGAGAGAGAGAGGAGCTCAAGGTGCCAGTTCCCCCGGTATACTAAGCCTATAGCAGCATAATTCACAGTCTATTCTTAAAAATACAGACTGTGTCTGCCTCCCGGACCCCGGCTGGAAGGCGGTTCCAGAGGAGAGGAGCCCGATAACTGAAGGCTTTACCCCCCATAGTACACTTGGAGACTGTAGGTACCACCAGCAGGCCTGCACTCTGGGACCGTGATGTTCTCGAGGGACAGTACGGCACTAGTAACTCCTTAAGATAAGATGGTGCCTGGCCATTTAGAGCTTTGTAAGTGAGAAGAAGGATCTTGAATTCTATTCTAGACTGTATAGGGAGCCAGTGCAGAGAAGCCAAGACAGTCGTAACAAGGTTTCCGTAGGTGAACCTGCAGATGGATCATTACCGGTAGATCCCTGCACCCAAGGCCGCGTGGCCCCTCGGTGTTGGCAGCGGGTCATCACTCTCTCCCTCATCAAAGTAACTGGCTCCACCCCTTTCTACCTGAAGACAACCTGAGTGGGGAGAGAGACAAGACAACAGGAGGAGCACTGACACAGTCAGGGGTCGTCAGAACAGACTACGATCTTTTGCACTTCCATATCTGCTCAGTTTTTCAACACCTTGCGTTTAATGGAGGACATCTGTGTTAAAAACAGTTAAAGGCTTAATATGTGATTATTCACACTTAAATGTAAAATCAAGTATATCCTCTGAAAATAACTCTATGAGTCATGACTGTCTACAATGGGTGTAACACCCGAGTCCCACTGTCTGTGATGTTTTCAGAGTTTTCAGAGTCCTATCTTCACTTTGTTTACATCGCCCGGACGGCCGGCTGACTCCTCCCCTCGAGTATAAAAGTTGTTTAATTGAGGGACTAGAGAAAAGAAGAATAACATACTGTACTCACTGCTTAACTGTGTTTCTAGATCACGCTCATTTCAGGTAAATTTACATGCAGTGTGAAGATACGAGCATAATAAAGATCGCTAGCATTAGCATGCTAACACAACAATGCAGCGCGAGTTGTTTTGGTTTCATGCTGGTGCTCAAGGGCGACATCTGCTGGATCAAAAAAAATTACATATAAAGCCTTTAAACATCTTTTAGATTCTGTGGGAAGTTTAAAACACAAAGTGTCCGTGCTGCTTGAATCCAGTGTTTGTGTACGTTCTTCCTGAAGCTGCTTCACAATAAAAATGAAGCTTCATCAGATTTAAGGAGCAACTTCTGCTGGATATGAACCTCCAGTTCCTCTTAGAGCTGCTGTGACCTTTTTCTCATCTCTCCACCAGATGAGACCTGGGTGGGCGTTTACACCCTGAAGGACTGCTACCCCGTGCAGGAGACCTACGCCAGGAACAGCAGCGTCACCACCTCCACCCGCTTCTTCAACCTGCAGCTGGGCATCAGCGACCCCGACGTCTTCACCCCGCCCAGCACCTGTCAATCAGCTCGGCCTGAGAGGATGTCGGAGTCCGGCTGCTGAATGCCCTCACCTTTAATCTTAGATACTTAAACGGGATAATCTCGCTGAATTCTTCTGTTACATAAATGTCTGTGAGGTCACAATCGTTTGTCTGATGAGTTAACACAAGAAGAGTTTTTATTCAGCAAAGATCTAATTAATGACTTCTGACGATGAAACTGTTTAAATGCTCCTGTGACTGTTTGTTTTCCTGAGTTTGGAAGTTGTTTTTCCAGCTTTGGTGTGAATGCAGGAGTAAACCAGTTCTTTCAGTAAGCGCCGGCTGTCACAGAAACAGCCTATGAGTCACTTAGTTACTGCTGGCTGCTGTTTTCTATTATTGATTCTAATAACATTTAATTCACTAACTACTTACGACTCGCTTTTGCTGTTTGTGTGAGAAGCTTCAAATCAATGTGAGCATGAGAAGAATGCCAGTCTGTCCGTGGTCAGCCCCGCCTGCATGCTCTGAGCGTGACAGAGTGTGGAGGCGGGGAGCAGGCTTCAGTGTTGCATACATACAAGCAGAATATTTGAAGACAAGAGGAAGAATTGCATTTATCTGCACAGAGAGGGCTCATCGTCATCACAAGCTGCTTCAGAAAACACCGGTGGCAGCAAAGTGACGCCTGCACAGCAAGCATTACAAATACGTTTCCCAGCATGCAACACAGACATTTATGAGTTCAATGAATGACTTTCATGAAGCCTGCATTGCACTTTCACAACAGAGCAACCTCTAAGCTGCTGTACAAACAACATGCAGTACTGGGGGCAGAAAGCCTTCTCCAAACCCTCCGATTCAAAGAAGAGTTCATCTTGTAAAATCTGAAATGAGAAGTGTTTTTAAAAGAGAAATGTTCTCTGTTGTAAACAAGTCTCCCTCCCCTCCCTCTTCTTCCTGCTCTCAACACAGCCAGCTCCACTCTGACTCTATATTTCCTGGTTCCCTCCCCTTTAGATCTACAAGTTGAGGATGGGTGTACCAACAAGAGCTGACGTTCACTGAACAAACACATGCTGTGCAGATCAGAGGTGGAGCTAGTCTGATTTCTCAGGAAGTGAAACTCAGACAGTTGTTGTTACCGAGAGGAGAAATGGCGCAGAAAGGAGTTCAGCTGGGCAGGAAACTTTCTTGTTCATCTGTCTGGATCTCCTGAAGGATCCGGTGACTGTTCCCTGTGGACACAGTTACTGTATGAACTGTATTAAAAGCCACTGGGATAAAGAGGATGAGAAGACAATCTACAGCTGCCCTCAGTGTAGACAGGACTTCACACCGAGGCCTGTCCTGAGGAAAAACACCATGTTAGCAGTTTTAGTGGAGGTGCTGAAGAAGACTGGACTCCAAGCTGCTCCTGCTGATCACTGCTATGCTGGACCTGAAGATGTGGCCTGTGATGTCTGCACCGGGAGGAAACTGAAAGCCTGTAAGTCCTGTCTGCAGTGTCTGGCCTCTTACTGTGAGAAACACCTCCAGCCTCATTTTGAAGCAGCTCCATTAAAGAAACACAAGCTGGTGGAGCCCTCCAAGAAGCTCCAGGAGAACGTCTGCTCTCGTCATAATGAGGAAATGAAAGTATTTTGTCGGACTGATCAGCAGTCTATCTGTTATCTCTGTTTAATGGACGAACACAAAGGTCATGACACAGTCTCAGCTGCAGCAGAAAGGAGCGAGAGGCAGAGAGAGCTCAAGGTGAGTCGACAAAACATCCAGCAGAGAATCCAGGACAGAGAGAAAGATGTGAAGCTGCTCCAACAGGAGGTGGAGGCTATCAATGGCTCTGCTGATAAAACAGTGGGGAACAGTGAGAAGATCTTCACTGAGCTAATCCGTCTCATGGAGAAAAGACGCTCTGATGTGAAGCAGCAGGTCAGATCCCAGCAGCAAACTGAAGTGAGTCGAGTCAGAGAGCTTCAGGAGAAGCTGGAGCAGGAGATCACTGAGCTGAAGAGGAAAGATGCTGAACTGGAGAAGCTCTCACACACAGAAGATCACAACCAGTTTCTACACGACTACCCCTCACTGTCACCACTCAGTGAATCTACACACTCATCCAGCATCAAGATCTGTCCTCTGAGGTACTTTGAGGATGTGACAGCGGCTGTGTCAGAAGTCAGAGATAAACTACAGGACGTCCTGAGAGAGAAATGGACAAACATCTCACAGACAGTGACTGAAGGGGATGTTTTACTGTCAGGACCAGAGCCCAAGACCAGAGCTGAGTTCTTAAAATATTCATGTGACATCACACTGGATCCAAACACAGCACAAACACGGCTGTTATTATCTGATGAGAACAGAAAAGTAACAGTAATGAGAGAAGATCAGTCTTATTCTAGTCACCCAGGCAGATTCACTGATATGTGTCAGGTCCTGAGTAAAGAGAGTCTGATGGGACGTTGTTACTGGGAGGTGGAGTTGAGAGGAAGAGTTTCTGTAGCAGTCACATACAAGAATATCAGCAGAGCAGGGAGCTCAGATGAATGTGTGTTTGGACGTAATGACAAATCTTGGAGTATATTGTACAACAACAGTTATACTTTTTACAACAAGTCAGCACTCCTGTCTCAGGTCCTGAGTCCTCCAGAGTAGGAGTGTACCTGGATCACAGAGCAGGTATTCTGTCCTTCTACAGCATCTCTAAAACCATGACTCTCCTCCACAGAGTCCAGACCACATTCACTCAGCCTCTACATGCTGGACTCAGGTTTTATATTTGGGGTCCTGGAGTCTCTGCTGAGTTGTGTAAACTGAAATAGACAGAAGTCATTAACCAGACAGATGTTTAACTTGCTGTGTTTTAAATCTTCAACTTGATTTTTATTCATGCTCGTTGCTGAGATCTGATCGTGGTCACCTGTCAATCAAACTTTATGGGCGGTCCTTTGACCTCTTCTCGTCTGTTCTGTAAATGTTTGAGTGTCTTTAAGTGACACTCCTTCCTGTGTCTGTTTAGCCGTGGACTCTTTCACTGCTCAGGATGACTTTTGTTCACCTGAACTGACATTTCTCTGCGTGAAAATATCAACTTCTCTCCACTCTCCATGTTTGATTATTTGTATTCATACATTTATATGCTGTTGTTTCTGTTCTGATTCATGAGTCTGAAGAGAGAGAGCAGCAAACTTTTCTTTAATGTTGATTTTCTCTTCTCACCACTTTGTACATTTGTAGAAAATCTATAAAATCACACTTAAAGAAATGAGTTAGTCAGAATAAATGTTGTTGTTCATATTCAAAGTAAAGTAAAAAATGTCCTCTGAGGTATTTTAAAACTGTAATCCTCCTGATTAAATCAATAAGGAGATAAATCATCGTTTTCTGTGAGTGGAGATTCTGATCAAACAAACTGATTGTGTGAATGTGTTCATGAAATGATTGAACAAGAGACATTGAACACACTTTACTGATTTAATGTGTAAACAAACTGAAGTTTGACATCCTGAATAAACACATGAACAAAATGTTTTCTTCTCGTCTTCATTGCAGGGTGTCGTAAGAAGCTGATGGAGAGTCAAACTCAGTCACTTTGTTCATGTGTTGGTGTTTAGAGCTGAAGAGCGTCTGTCACTCACTCTCTGTTCCTTCAGCTCTCCTCACTAAAAAAGATTTGCTTTTGAGGAATGAGCAGAGTTCTCTTTAACATTTGACGTCTAAAAACATTTTGACAGACTTTTCTTTCCTATATTTCCAATGTGTCCTGAATGCAGCATCAGAATCAGAAGAATCAGAATCAGCTTTATTGGCCGCGTATGCTTTCACACACAAGGAATTTGACTTCATTAAAACAATACTCTCTATGCACAAAAAGGACAACATTAAATTACAACAATAACACAATGTAAGCAAAGACTAACACGTACAAGGCTCGATGAGAGAATAGTGCAGTGTTGGGTCGAGCAAACATGCTGAGATAACTTATAATAAAATATATATATATGTAACAGATGAGTTCATTTACTTGAGGAAGAGTTTAACAGTATTTACATTGAGCGTGTGATTGATTGATATCAAGGGAGGATAATAATACAGATGCCTTCCTGCAGAGAGTAAAAATCACCACAAGAGGGCGCCTTATCCTACTAACCAGGGATGTAAAGATCACCTGAACTCAGTTTGTGCAGAAGAGAGTGATGTGAAAAGAAGTCAAACTACTTAAAGTTATTCACTAATTCTCTCTGATCTTCATTCATATACATCTGTCCCTGGATTCTGCTGCCATTCTTCTCCATATTACCAAGTGTATTTATGTCATTTCTAGTCAACAATACACTTATTAAAAGACACAATCACCTGACAGGTCCAGAAAAACCTCTTCGAGATACAAAATAAAACCTGGATTGCTTTTAATCTGTAAAAATATTGCTAATGCAGCAAGCAAATTTAACTTGTTTAAATGTTAAAAGGTGTCATCAAGTCAAATTTGCATAAATATATTATTTTCACTTTTAACAAGCAGTTCAGACCTTTATTTTTTTTAGTTATATATCTTGAAATAAGATGTTTATCCAGACTTTTCAGGTGACCATGGTTTACAATATGTGTATTGAGCTGCTTTTGACGTTATCAGCCTTCTTAGTAAGATTTTAGTGTTAATTGAGGCCTCACTTGGAGACTGAACCAGCTTATTTTAGGCATCACAAAATAATAAATCCAATTAAAAAGGAGAGTTTTCAGGGAAATAAATACATTTTTTACTAAATTAAACTGTGATAAAGAAACAAAAAGACAAACTTTCATTCACTCAGGGTTTTAGGGATTAGAGAGTCGCGTATAAGAAGTTCCTCTCTTCACTCAGAGTGATGGACGAGTGAGCGGCACACCTACCGACATATATGACAGAAAAATAAGCTGGAAAATGACATTAACTATCAACAGAAAAGACAGATGTAGATTGATGAAAGTAGAAATATAAACTCAGAAAATGATAAAGAGTGAAATATGGAGCCATCACGGAGCGGTTATTTTTAATGTTTTAAATATAGCTAATAAATGTAAAGAAATGGCAGGCCTGGTTAAAGCTCTCTACATGGGAACAACAAGGTATGATTTAGAGCTGCAACATAAGCCAATCAATCAATTAGTCAAAAGAAATTATGCTATACATTTTAATTAATTATAAAACATTCCAGATGTTTCAGATTTCAGATTCTGAAATGCGAAGATTTCCTAATTTTCCTGATTATAAATTAAATACTTTTTAGGTTTTGTTCTGTTGTTTTGGCCAGAAGAATACATTCAAAGATGTCACTTCTTCATCTTTCTCTTCCTCGGCTCCAGGTTCTTCGAGTACATCTTTTTGCACCAGAGCCTGGTGATGTTCCAGATCGACCAGAAGACGAAGGACTGCTCAAAGATCTCTCTGACCGAGGCCTGGGATCTCTTCGACATCCCAGCCAACTCCACCTTCGAGGACCAGTACATCATCGGAGGCCCCGGGGACAACGTGGAGGTCCAGGAGTGGTCGGACAGGAAGCCTGGCACGCCACGTAAACCTGGTTTTTAAAATATTTTTGAAACACAACACCAGAAAGGACATGCACAGACAGAAAGTCATAATCAAAGAAATAAGTCAGTATTAACTGCCAGTGACAGGGATAGTCTCCCACTGTGAGGTGCATATGTGAACATCCAGGTCGAGAGAATATCCAGATCACTCCTCCTGAAATGACGGCTTAGGGTGCAGCCAGCCTGACACCAAAATCAAACCTTCCAAATGACATAAAGTAGGTTTATCTGTGGTAAACACATTGTCACAATCCAGGCCATCAGTGGTGATGGCAATGGTGAATGTGTGGTGTTGTGGCTAAACAAAGACCACCAACCAAAGTGAGTGTTGACAAGAGAGAGAGAGAGAGACTAAGAAACCAGCTTATACACCAAGGCCCAGTCTGCCCAGGTGCATGACATTCAATTCAATTCAATTCAATTTATTTGTATAGCGTCAACTCATAACAAGTGTTATCTCAAGACACTTTACAAAAAGCAGGTAAAAGACCTTACCTTTGTCTCTTAACGTTACAAAAAGCAGGTAAAAAGACCTTACTCATTGTTATGTTACAAAAGAGCAGGTAAAAAGACCTTACTTATTGCTATGTTACAAAGATCCGGCCTATCCATCATGAGCACTTTAACAAAGCAGCAAAAGTTACAGTGGTAAGAAAAAAGTGGCTTATTAAAAGGCAGAAATCTTCGGCCGGATCCCCGGCTCATGACGAAACAGCCTTCACAGGACTAGACTGCGCCGGGGTTGGAAAGGGATAGGGGGAGAGATGGGATAAGATGCAGGAAGAGGGATAGGGAGCAAGGGGTGGGGGAGGCAAACCGTCCATCAACAATTTGGTGGGGGGGGTTGTTCTGGCAGGCTGTCAACCAACGATCTTGAGGAGCCTAAGAGAGCTCAAGAGCTCTCAGGAAAGTAGGTGGTTAGTGACTGAGATTTACAGATAGATACATGCAGTAATATGATGTACTGTATATGCACAGAGAGAGAGAGAGAGAGAGAGAGAGAGAGAGAGAGAGAGAGAGCTCAAGGTGCCAGTTCCCCCGGTATACTAAGCCTATAGCAGCATAACTAATTGCTGGTCTACACCAGCACTAACTATAAGATTTATCAAAAAGGAAAGTTTTAAGTCTATTCTTAAAAATACAGACTGTGTCTGCCTCCCGGACCCCGGCTGGAAGGCGGTTCCAGAGGAGAGGAGCCGATAACTGAAGGCTTTACCTCCCATAGTACACTTGGGACTGTAGGTACCACTACCAGCCTGCACTCGGGACCGTAATGTTCTCGAGGGACAGTACGGCACTAGTAGCTCCTTAAGATAAGATGGTGCCTGGCCATTTAGAGCTTTGTAAGTGAGAAGAAGGATCTTGAATTCTATTCTAGACTGTATAGGGAGCCAGTGCAGAAGCCAAGACAGTCGTAACAAGGTTTCCGTAGGTGAACCTGCAGATGGATCATTACCGGTAGATCCCTGCACCCGAGGCCGCGTGGCCCCTCGGTGTCGGCAGCGGGTCATCACTCTCTCCCTCATCAAAGTAACTGGCTCCACCCCTTTCTACCTGAAGACAACCTGAGTGGGGAGAGAGACAAGACAACAGGAGGAGCACTGACACAGTCAGGGTCGTCAGAACAGACTACGATCTTTTGCACTTCCATATCTGCTCAGTTTTTCAACACCTTGCGTTTAATGGAGGACATCTGTGTTAAAAACAGTTAAAGGCTTAATATGTGATTATTCACACTTAAATGTAGAAATCAAGTATATCCTCTGAAAATAACTCTGAGAGTCATGACTGTCTACAATGGGTGTAACACCCGAGTCCCACTGTCTGTGATGTTTTCAGAGTTTTCAGAGTCCTATCTTCACTTTGTTTACATCGCCGGGACGGCCGGCTGACTCCTCCCCTCGTGTATAAAAGTTGTTTAATTGAGGGACTAGAGAAAAGAAGAATAACATACTGTACTCACTGCTTAACTGTGTTTCTAGATCACGCTCATTTCAGGTAAATTTACATGCAGTGTGAAGATACGAGCATAATAAAGATCGCCAGCATTAGCATGCTAACACAACAATGCAGCACGAGTTGTTTTGGTTTCATGCTGGTGCTCAAGCGCGACATCTGCTGGATCAAAAAATCACATATAAAGCCTTTAAACATCTTTTAGATTCTGTGGGAACTTTAAAACACAAAGTGTCCGTGCTGCTTGAATCCAGTGTTTGTGTACGTTCTTCCTGCAGCTGCTTCACAATAAAAATGAAGCTTCATCAGATTTAAGGAGCAACTTCTGCTGGATATGAACCTCCAGTTCCTCTTAGAGCTGCTGTGACCTTTTTCTCATCTCTCCACCAGATGAGACCTGGGTGGGCGTTTACACCCTGAAGGACTGCTACCCCGTGCAGGAGACCTACGCCAGGAACAGCAGCGTCACCACCTCCACCCGCTTCTTCAACCTGCAGCTGGGCATCAGCGACCCCGACGTCTTCACCCCGCCCAGCACCTGTCAATCAGCTCGGCCTGAGAGGATGTCGGAGTCCGGCTGCTGAATGCCCTCACCTTTAATCTTATATAATTAAACGGGATAATCTCGCTGAATTCTTCTGTTACATAAATGTCTGTGAGGTCGCAATCGTTTGTCTGATGAGTTAACACAAGAAGAGTTTTTATTCAGCAAAGAATCTAATTAATGACTTCTGACGATGAAACTGTTTAAATGCTCCTGTGACTGTTTGTTTTCCTGAGTTTGGAAGTTGTTTTTCCAGCTTTGGTGTGAATGCAGGAGTAAACCAGTTCTTTCAGTAAGCGCCGGCTGTCACAGAAACAGCCTATGAGTCACTTAGTTACTGCTGGCTGCTGTTTTCTATTATTGATTCTAATAACATTTAATTCACTAACTACTTACGACTCGCTTTTGCTGTTTGTGTGAGAAGCTTCAAATCAATGTGAGCATGACAAGAATGCCAATCTGTCCGTGGTCAGCCCCGCCCTGCATGCTCTGAGCGTGACAGAGTGTGGAGGCGGGGAGCAGGCTTCAGTGTTGCATACATACAAGCAGAATATTTGAAGACAAGAGGAAGAATTGCATTTATCTGCACAGAGAGGGCTCATCGTCATCACAAGCTGCTTCAGAAAACACCGGTGGCAGCAAAGTGACGCCTGCACAGTAAGCATTACAAATACATTTCCCAGCATGCAACACAGACATTTATGAGTTCAATGAATGACTTTCATGAAGCCTGCATTGCACTTTCACAACAGAGCAACCTCTAAGCTGCTATACAAACAACATGCAGTACTGGGGGCAGAAAGCCTTCTCCAAACCCTCCGATTCAAAGAAGAGTTCATCTTGTAAAATCTGAAATGAGAAGTGTTTTTAAAAGAGAAATGTTCTCTGTTGTAAACAAGTCTCCCTCCCCCTCCCTCTTCTTCCTCCTCGCAAACATTTTACATTATTGTATTGTTTTGTGTAACTTTACATTTACATTATTGTATTTTTTTACATTATTGTATTTTTTATTTATTTAAATGATGTTAATATGTTTGATCTATTTCTTAACTTCGATTTTTATTTTTTGTAAGTATATTCCCGTCCCCTGTTTTCTGGAGCTGCTGTAATGCACAAATTCTCCCCACGGTGGATCAATAAAGTTTATCTATATCTTTATCTTTATCTTTATCTTTATCTTTATCTTTATCTTTATCAAACACAGCCAGCTCCACTCTGACTCTATATTTCCTGGTTCCCTCCCCTTTAGATCTACAAGTTGAGGATGGGTGTAACCAAGAAGAGCTGACATTCACTGAACAAACACATGCTGTGCAGATCAGAGGTGGAGCTAGTCTGATTTCTCAGGAAGAGAAACTCAGACAGTTGTTGTTACCGAGAGGAGAAATGGCGCAGAAAGGAGTTCAGCTGGGCAAGGAAACTATTTCTTGTTCCATCTGTCTGGATCTCCTGAAGGATCCGGTGACTTCCTGTGGACACAGTTACTGTATGAACTGTATTAAAAGCCACTGGGATAAAGAGGATGAGAAGACAATCTACAGCTGCCCTCAGTGCAGACAGGACTTCACACCGAGGCCTGTCCTGAGGAAAAACACCATGTTAGCAGTTTTAGTGGAGGAGCTGAAGAAGACTGGACTCCAAGCTGCTCCTGCTGATCACTGCTTGCTGGACCTGAAGATGTGGCCTGTGATGTCTGCACCGGGAGGAAACTGAAAGCCTGTAAGTCCTGTCTGCAGTGTCCGGCCTCTTACTGTGAGAAACACCTCCAGCCTCATTTGAAGCCTCCATTAAAGAAACACAAGCTGGTGGAGCCCTCCAAGAAGCTCCAGGAGAACGTCTGCTCTCGTCATAATGAGGAAATGAAAGTATTTTGTCGGACTGATCAGCAGTCTATCTGTCTCCTCTGTTTAATGGATGACCACAAAGGTCATGACACAGTCTCAGCTGCAGCAGAAAGGAGCGAGAGGCAGAGAGAGCTCGAGGTGAGTCGACAAAACATCCAGCAGAGAATCCAGGACAGAGAGAAAGATGTGAAGCTGCTTCAACAGGAGGTGGAGGCTATCAATGGCTCTGCTGATAAAACAGTAGGGAACAGTGAGAAGATCTTCACTGAGCTGATCCGTCTCATGGAGAAAAGACGCTCTGATGTGAAGCAGCAGGTCAGATCCCAGCAGCAAACTGAAGTGAGTCGAGTCAGAGAGCTTCAGGAGAAGCTGGAGCAGGAGATCACTGAGCTGAAGAGGAAAGACGCTGAACTGGAGAAGCTCTCACACACAGAAGATCACAACCAGTTTCTACACGACTACCCCTCACTGTCACCACTCAGTGAATCTACACACTCATCCAGCATCAAGATCCGTCCTCTGAGGTACTTTGAGGATGTGACAGCGGCTGTGTCAGAAGTCAGAGATAAACTACAGGACGTCCTGAGAGAGAAATGGACAAACATCTCACAGACAGTGACTGAAGTGGATGTTTTACTGTCAGGACCAGAACCAGAGCCCAAGACCAGAGCTGAGTTCTTAAAATATTCATGTGACATCACACTGGATCCAAACACAGCACACACAGCTGTTATTATCTGATGAGAACAGAAAAGTAACAGCAATGAGTAAACATCAGTCGTATTCTAGTCACCCAGACAGATTCACTGATTGGTGTCAGGTCCTGAGTAAAGAGAGTCTGATGGGACGTTGTTACTGGGAAGTGAGTTGAGAGGAAGAGTTTCTGTAGCAGTCACATACAAGAATATCAGCAGAGCAGGGGCTCATATGAATGTCTGTTTGGACGTAATGACAAATCTTGGGTGTTATCTTGTTCAACAACAGTTATACTTTTGGTACAACAATGTCACTCCTGTCTCAGGTCCTCAGTCCTCCAGAGTAGGAGTGTACCTGGATCACAGAGCAGGTATTCTGTCCTTCTACAGCATCTCTGAAACCATGACTCTCCTCCACAGAGTCCAGACCACATTCACTCAGCCTCTACATGCTGGACTGGTTATATTTTCTCCTGGAGACTCTGCTGAGTTGTGTAAACTGAAATAGACAGAAGTCATTAACAGACAGATGTTTAACTTGCTGAGATCTGATCGTGGTCACCTGTCAATCAAACTTTATGGGCGGTCCTTTGACCTCTTCTCGTCTGTTCTGTAAATGTTTGAGTGTCTTTAAGTGACACTCCTTCCTGTGTCTGTTTAGCCGTGGACTCTTTCACTGCTCAGGATGACTTTTGTTCACCTGAACTGACATTTCTCTGCGTGAAAATATCAACTTCTCTCCACTCTCCATGTTTGATTATTTGTATTCATACATTTATATGCTGTTGTTTCTGTTCTGATTCATGAGTCTGAAGAGAGAGAGCAGCAAACTTTTCTTTAATGTTGATTTTCTCTTCTCACCACTTTGTACATTTGTAGAAAATCTATAAAATCACACTTAAAGAAATGAGTTAGTCAGAATAAATGTTGTTGTTCATATTCAAAGTAAAGTAAAAAATGTCCTCTGAGGTATTTTAAAACTGTAATCCTCCTGATTAAATCAATAAGGAGATAAATCATTGTTTTCTGTGAGTGGAGATTCTGATCAAACAAACTGATTGTGTGAATGTGTTCATGAAATGATTGAACAAGAGACATTGAACACACTTTACTGATTTAATGTTTGAACAAACTGAAGTTTGACATCCTGAATAAACACATGAACAAAATGTTTTCTTCTCGTCTTCATTGCAGGGTGTCGTAAGAAGCTGATGGAGAGTCAAACTCAGTCACTTTGTTCATGTGTTGGTGTTTAGAGCTGAAGAGCGTCTGTCACTCACTCTCTGTTCCTTCAGCTCTCCTCACTAAAAAAGATTTGCTTTTGAGGAATGAGCAGAGTTCTCTTTAACATTTTGACGTCTAAAAACATTTTGACAGACTTTTCTTTCCTATATTTCCAATGTGTCCTGAATGCAGCATCAGAATCAGAAGAATCAGAATCAGCTTTATTGGCCGCGTATGCTTTCACACACAAGGAATTTGACTTCATTAAAACAATACTCTCTATGCACAAAAAGGACAACATTAAATTACAACAATAAACACAATGTAAGCAAAGACTAACACGTACAAGGCTCGATGAGAGAATAGTGCAGTGTTGGGTCGAGCAAACATGCTGAGATAACTTATAATAAAATATATATATATGTAACAGATGAGTTCATTTACTTGAGGAAGAGTTTTAACAGTATTTACATTGAGCGGTGTGATTGATATCAAGGGAGGATAATAATACAGATGCCTTCCTGCAGAGAGTAAAAATCACCACAAGAGGGCGCCTTCATCCTGCTAACCAGGGTTGTAAAGATCACCTGAACTCAGTTTGTGCAGAAGAGAGTGATGTGAAAAGAAGTCAAACTACTTAAAGTTATTCACTAATTCCCTCTGATCTTGTTAGGTGGGGGTTATTTCTGTATGAGATGGACAATTATGTAATTGTGAAACAGACTGTGGATCATCTCAGATTTATTCAGCCATGGTCAGACAACACAGAAACACAACACACATGGCTGACAAAGTGCAGACCATCGCTGACCCATGCTGACCAAGATCTCACAATCATTGACAATCATTGGCAAAGTGGCCATCATGGGCAAAATGGCAAAATGGCAAAATCTTCATCACACAGTGTTGCTTATATTCTGCTAGAAGGTACAGCCCACAAATTCCTTTCCATTTGGGTACATCACTATAAAACAATAAAGATGACATGACACTGATTTGTATACGTATCAGATGTAGACTCAGTGTAGACAGTTGCTGACAACATATAGTTGGCTCCTATCCATTTATAGATCTGCTACTACTTAGGTGCTTCACCCATATAAGGTTAACGCTTCACAGACCCAAAAGAAGAATTACTGTGAGATGGTTGACACAATTTAAAGATATGTCCACAAAATTATCAAGATGAATGAATCCATGAAAATACGTACTAACAGATCTTCATTCATATACATCTGTCCCTGGATTCTGCTGCCATTCTTCTCCATATTACCAAG